TACACTGGGTTCGCTAGAAATCATTTTATACAGAAAGGAATTCAGTCAACACAAATATACCCCATTAACTTCAGTCCACACACGTCCTTAACTGAGCTTCCCCTAGGAAGAATGGAAAGATACTTTTCTTTTTCCCACCAATTGCAATGAAAATATTTCACTTTGAAAAATATTCGAGACACATCAGATAAAGGACTGTTATCCCCAAACACAAAGAGCTCTTACTTAGATCTCAATGATAAGGACCTTAAAATTAATAAGGGATTTTTCTATTAAAAATTGGATAAAAGACCTGAATAGACACTTCAACAAAAAAGACATAGGGATGGAGCATAAATATATGAAAAGAGGCCCAGTTTTGGACCTGATGATGCTCCAGGTCGCATGTCATTGGGCAATTACAAATTAGAATTTTAATGGGGCACCACTCCACACTTATTGGAAAGGGTCAAATCCATAACCCTGGCAACACAGTGTAGAACTCCCATTCATTGCTAGTGAGAGTGCAAAATTATGACCCCACATTGGAAGACAGTTCAGCAGTTCCCTGCAGAGCTCAAACACGCCTTTCCCCTATGATCCAGTAACCACACTCTTCCATATTTATCCAAATGAACTGAAAACGTATGTCCACACCAAAACCTACACACAGATTCTTGTGGCACTTTTATTCATCATTGCCAAAACTGGGGAAGCCACCGAGATTTCCTTGAGTAGGGGCATGGATTTAAAAAAAAAAAAAACTTTTGGATATCCAGACAGTAGAATATTATACAGTCCTAAAAAGAAATGAACTAGCAAGACATGGAAAATCATGAAGGAAACTTACATCCATGTTGCTAAAAGGAAAGAGCCCACTTGAAAAGTGTCCATACTGTCTGAGTCCAGCTAAATAACATTCTAGAGAAGGCAAAACTGTGTAGGCAGTAAAAAGTCAATAGTGTCCAGGGATTAGTGGGCAAGAAGGATGAAGAGGTGGAATACGGAGTCTTAGGGGAGGAAAACTATTCTGTATGATAACATAATAATGAATGCCTGTCCTTATGCATTATTCCAAACCCACAAAATATGGAGCAGCAAGAGTGGACCCTAATGCAAATATTGGGCTTTGGGTGACAATCATGTGTCAGTGCAGGTTCATCAGCTGTAACAAACACGCCACTCTACTGAGGGTTGTTTCATAGTAGGCCACTTTGTGTATGTGGGGATGGGAAGATGTGGAATATCTCTATCAATTTTGCTATGAACTTAAACCTGATCTAAAAAACATCAAACTTGCTATTTTTTTTTTTAATTTTAAGCATCGTGGCTTAGTGAACACATTGCTAGTCTCCTCCTAGAGCCTTGGAAGGGGTCTTTGCAGGAGGTCCTGAAGGTTAACTGTCATTAGCGTCTCTCCTTGAGAACAAGTATAATTGGGTTCAACAGGTCTGAACGCACCCTGAGCACATGGTAATAAATGCACATACTGAATGATAATTAAAGCAAATGTATACAGTCATCTCAGACCTATGAGTGTGCAACAAGGTTTGCACCAGGGTTGGTCTGTTTGCAGAGGGAAGCCCTTTGTGGAATCAATTAACCAGAGGCTAGGAAGGGAGTTTCCACTGTCCTTGACACCATATGGCAAACTTCTATTACACATCCGTGTGCTAAGTGCTTTATAGAACATCTTTTATGACCTTTACAGTCACCCTATCATTATGATTAGCACCAATTTAGAGATGAAGAAACTGAGGCTCAGAAAAGGGGGATGACTCACCAGAGGTCTTGAGGAGATCATCAGCGAAGCTGAGATTCTAATGGCGGGGTGGCTCCGTGAGTCATGCTGCCTTAAGCCTGGATTTGGACAATGATGTATTTTCCCCTCAATCTTCGTGATCATTTGCAACGTGGTGCAATAGGTCCCACCTCATGCCCTCCCTGAGGTCATGCATGTCAAGATCAAAATGACATCACGGAGCAGACACCACATTTTAAGTGTGAGATGCTGCCTGCATTTTTTCAGGATCCAATGAGGAAAGGAAGGAAGGAAGGAAGGAAGGAAGGAAGGAAGGAAGGAAGGGAAAGAAAGGGAGAGGGGGGAGGGAGGGAGGGAGGGAAGGAAGGAAGGAAAGAGAGAGTGAGAGAGAAGGAGGGAGGGACTCAACTGGGAGATGCTACTTTTCTAGATAAACTCTTGACCGTAGCAACGACGGGGAGCCAGAGTGGCTCAGGGAGAGGTGGATGGACTCCTCGCTCATGCTGCCTGCAAGGTACAGAGCTGCAGCGATTTGAGGGTAGGGTTTATTCTCATCTTAAAATAGAGGGAAGCCTCAGGATGGGGGAAGTGGCCTCATTGAGGAGCTCAGCCCCAGAGACCAGAGATGACACTGGCCCCCGGCGTCCTTGATCCATCAGAAGCTGACAGCCTCCTGTCCGGCAGTGAGCTGGCCAGCAGCCGCTCCGGCCGCCTCCTGCTCGAGGGTGTCAATAGGAAGGAGAGACCCGCGCCAGCCAGAAGCCGCCCTTCCCACTCTCTCCCTCTCAGTGCCCTGCGCTGGATTCTAACTTGAGAGCCAAACCCAGTTCCAGGAAGTGCTTCTGCCTCACCTCGGTCCCCATCAGGTCTGGCAATCACAGATGCTCCCAAGGCCACGACTGCCCGTCCCTGTTTGCCCAGAGCCAGGCTCTCTCTATGCCCACCACCCAAACACCAATCAAGACCAAAGTTAAGTGAAGGATGGTGCGAGGAACACTCTCCTCATGTTCACCGGTTTGTTCACCCATCCATTTGTTTATTCATTCAACAAACATTGATGTAGCATCTGCTTAAACTGAGCCCCGAGGGCAAGAGTGGAGAATTGAATGAGGGCTGGGGACGGGGCTCAGCTACTGCGCTTGCCCAGGGACTAAAGAAGGATGGGGAGAAAAGATCCTACTACCCCAAAACTGACCCCTGCGGTTATTTTAAATGAAACAGGCAGGAGGTGCGGCTTAACGAACAAGGCCTTGGGTCACAGGATGGCAGCCCAGGGAATCCTCCAACGGTGCTGAAGGCAACAACTTCCCCATCCAATGGAAGCTTCCAGAACTCTTCAGGGCCTCCAGACGGGGCTGTCCAGAGATGCTTTTGCTGAAAAAATCTTCAGAGTGGCCTGTTCTGTCCCCTCCCCCAGCCACGTCCAAGGTCAGAATCCAGCCAGGGGCCTCCAAGGGACAGAAGTATTCATGCCATGTCCGGAAGACCCCACGCAAGAGACAGAGCTGATGCCTCTTGAAAGGAATCGGGGCAGAATCTCCCGAGATTAAGAAAATGACAGTGACCAAAGTCGCAAGGGGGAAAGGGGTGAGAAGTGGAGATTAAAGCGGCCCAGCCATCCGTTACGATGATCTGTGGCTTCTTTTTTTTTTTTTTTTAATTTCAAGGGGAATTAAAGGAGATGAATGAAGACTTCATTAGACCCTGACAACTTCAGGAATATTAATCCGTCTTGCATCTGCTCTGAGACTCCCCAGCCTGGGCAGCGCTGGGGCGGTGGAGGGAGAGCCGGGGATAGGTAGATCCTCCCTCTCTGCACCCCTGGCCTCTCCCCACGGGGGGCCACTCTCCCTTTCATGTCTTTGTTTGACATCTCGGAAAGAATCATGAGGTGCTGAGCATCATTAACTTCCAAACACCTCCGAAATCAGTAGGCAAGTGCAAACATCGCGCCCCCCGACCGACCGTCTCCACAAATGATCTGTCCTCCAGCGCCTGCCCTCTGGAGATGAAAAGAAAGACCTTGGCAAGCTGACAGTCTTCGGGGAGAGGGGCCTGGGCCAACGGGAGGGGCACGAGCAGAATAAATGAAAATATGATTGACTTCTTGCCTGAGTCCCGTTCACACATGGTTCTGAGCATTTAATAAACCGATTGACACTCCAAGTTCCCCTCATTAGGTGAACGCGGAGACCGGGACGATCATAAATCAGGAGGGCAGGTTATCAAAGCTTGTGATCTTTAACAGTGTCAGGGCGCCCTCCTGTCTGCTCAAATAGACCAGCAACCTGCAAGCTGCAAAGAATTAGCCCCCGCACCGCCGCCTAATAGACACACCCCTGCAGGAGGAGGGAGGCCGGACCTGCCATCCAGGTACTAGGCTCCTGGGGCCGGTCCTTGGGCACAGCTGTCCTGGGGTGTGTGGGGCCTGAGGGGTAAGGGTAAGGGACAGTCCTTGAAGGACAAAGAAATAAGCCCCTGTGTTAGTGTGATTGGGAGCCATGGAGGAAAATAGCCATGGAATGTTCGAATCCCTAGGCCGGGAGGTTTCCATGAGAAACCCTCTCATCTTGTGGCTTCCCAGCCCCATTTCATGTGAAAATCGAATGGAAAACTCTTCAGTCGTTTTCTAAATAAAGTTAGAAAAACACTTGTACCCTGTGACCTAAAAATTACATCCAAGAAAAATGAAGGCGTATGGCCACCCAAGGACTTCTATATAAGCCTTCAGAGCAATTGAGTTCATAGTAGCCCTGAGCTGGAAACAGAGCAGAAGCCCATCGACAGGAGATGGATGGACAGACTGTGGCACATCCGTGAATGGAATACTATTCAGCAATAAAAATGAATGAAAGACTGGCACGTGCAATGGGGTGGATTAATCACACAGACCTGAGGGTGGGTGAAGGAACCCAGGTGCAGGAAATTCTATACTGCAAGATGCATTTCCGTGAGTTCAAGGAGAAGGAAAACGCATCATCTGTGGCAATGCAAGTCAGAATGGTGAGACAGGGTCAAGGGGAAGGATCTGGAGCGTAAGAAAACTTTCTTGTGTGGTGGGAGTATAAGCCCCTCCACGCACTATTGCTTATCTTAACACACACTCTTATTCTCTCTCTCTCTCTCTCTCTCTCTCTCTCTCTCTCTCTCACACACACACACACACACACACCCCACACCAATAAAATACTGTAAAAACAATCAAATGCCAAATGCTGAATTTTCTGCTTTTATAAACCTATTTTAGATACTTCACAGGAATAAGAACATACAGTATTTGTCTTTCCGGAACTTAGGAGGGACTTTTCATTCTGTGTATCTCTCACTTATCTGCATGTGGCACCAGGTGTCCAGGGGTAGACAGGCAGCTGCAGAGAAGGTCTCCGGTTCTGCCACCTTTGAGCTCCATGTCCTACAGAGGTTCATTTCTCCTGTTGGAAATTGCAGATGATGGAGCTTCACTCTTAGGCTTACCCAGAGGCCTCCATAAGACGAGGTCTACACCGAGCATGGGCAGTAGGGGGCATATGGTGAGGTCTGCTGGTCACGGCTAAGATGCCCTCCAAGTCCAATCCTCTGCATTCAGGGTTCTAGAATATCCTCAGAACTCCAAGTGTGGCTGGGGCCATCTCAAAACACAAGAGATCAGCCTGAATTTTCCTTCATATCTTTGGCTAAACCCTGGGCCCCATAGAAGACAGCTCTAAGCCACCAGGACCCGAGACCATGGGTATAAGTTGCTTATAAGAGACAGGTTTAAACTTGCCAGTGAAAACCATCCCCATTCCGTCGATGGTTCCTAGGACAGGACTTCCCCTAGGTTTTTGCAAGAGCAGAAGTAGGGTCTTTTGTTTTCTCTCTTCAAACCCCAATCAATCTTTCACACAAGGAACTTTCAGATTTTCCACCAGGCAACAAGGAATTGGTTGGATCAAGGAGCAGAGAGAGCAAGATGATGATCGCCTCTCTCTTCTGTGAGTTGGGGGCCTGAACACCCGTCAGTCTGAGATCAAAAGTGTGTGCTTCCAGGAGGGGCCAATAACTTGAACCCGGGGAAACCCAAAGAGCAGGTGGTGATAAGGGATTACTCCCGTTGGTACTGGGGACTAAACCCAGGGGCCACTGAACTACTGAGCCACATCCCCAGCCCCTTTTTTTAAAAAAAAAATATTTTATTTAGAGACAAGGTCTTGCTAAATTGCTTAGGGCTTTGCTAAATTGCTGAGGCTGGCTTTGAACTTGTGATCCTCCTGCCTCAGCCTCCTGAGACGCTGGGATTACAAACATGCACCACTGCACCCAGCTGGGAATACTCTCTTTGACGGAGACTTTAAATGCAACGTCCCCAGCACTTACTGACTCTGAGCCACTTAACTTCGCTCCTCACCTGCAAAACAGGGATACATCAGTACTCACAATGGTAGCAAAGGCTCATTCCCTGACGTTTGTACGTTGTCTTTTTCAGTTAACCCTGTGTGTTGCTATACACTACCCCTCCACAAAATTTCTTTATTTTTTTCTTTCAAATGGAATGGTCAATTTGGCTACTTTAGGAAATGTAAGCAGAATCTATAGGAATACTGAGGAAATGGAGCAGAAGAGGAGGGAGGTGGGGGGTGAGGGGTGGTACTGGGGATTGAAATGGAGAAAACTATGGTATGTGCACTTATGAATATGTCAAAATGAACTCCACTATTATGAATAACTATAATGCAATAATAATAATAATAATAATAATAATAAAAGAATGTTGAAGAAGGTAAGTTATGTTTGGAAAAAAAAATGTTTGAAATCTGGGCATCCTGAGAGCCACCATTAGCATTTGGGGAACTGTTTTTCCGTGCACCACTTTATGCATGTTATGCTGCTTTAAAAACCCCCAACCTCATGTTAGGATGAGCTGTGAAGCTGTGGGTTTGAATCCCAGCCACAGCACATGGGATTTTAGGACTTGGGTAAGTCATTGAACTTCTCAGAGTTATACCTCAGTCTATAAAATGGTGGCTTCATTTCCTAGGATGGCTGAAACCTGTCGTCCTAAACAGGGTGGCTTAAAACAACAGAAATCCACTCTTCCTCCGTTGTGGAGTTCAAGATATAAATGGTCAGTCCCTTCTGAGGCTCTTGGGGGGACATCCTTCCATGCCTCCTTCCAAGTTTCAGTGGCCGCCAGCAGTCCTGGGCATACATGCCACAATCTAAGTTCTGTTTACATCTAACATGGCTTCACCTCTGTGCCTGGTCTTCTCTTCTGATAAAGACACTGGTCATTGGATTCAGGGTTCACCCAGGGAAACTGGGATGACCACCTGTCAAGGACCCCATGTTAATCATACTTGCAAACACTTTTTTTTTTCCAAACAAGCCCATGTTCGAAGGTTCCAGATTGGACACATCTTTGGGGAAGAATGGGGGGCACCATTCAACCATTTCAAATGGAGACAAGAGTCGTTCCCTCCTTCGGTCACTTGGATAGACAAGTGGAAGGGGATCAGATATATGAGAATCTTGGCATCCAATTACATGGTCGATCAGCACTGTGTATTCATTTTTCTGAAAGGGCACTGTTTCTTCAACGTCTTCCTGCAAGAATAAAACAAGATATAAATAAACACAAATAAATAATTTTGAGGTTCATATGGGTGCCAAAAATGTGGTTTTCTTGAATTCCCATGAGCTCTCTCTAGTGCTTTTGAAAGGGGAGTTTGATACACTTAAGCTATGATTTTTTTCTCTCTCTCTTTTTACTACAGTTTTTCTTTTATCCTCTGGCTTTCCTCCTCTCTCTCTCTCTCTTTCTCTCTCTCTCTCTCACAGCTTGGCAGGTTGGCCATTTTACTTAGAAAAAGCAAAGCTTCCGAATGCATGGATTCCATCGAATCAATTAGATGAATTACATTTTATCTTAGAATGAAAAATCGACCATTCATTTCAACATGTAGCTTTTCGTGCTTTTTGTGACATTGAGGTTAAATAGAAATTCTTTACAGCTTCATTATTTTAAAGCATAGAGCTGTCTTGATTTTTCTTTCTTTCTTTCTTTTTTTTAGCCCTGATACATGAAAAGCGCAAGACTTACAAAAGAACTAAACGAGGAAGCAACTGTTCACAAAAAGATTTGTCCTTGACCAAAGGATGCTCCTGGTGCATTTTCAGTGATTTGACTTATAAGGGGAGAGATACTAATAGAGCAAGAAAGGCAGTTGAGAGTCCAGAGAAGGGAGTTATATTCTGAGCTATGTTATCCTCTAGCTGTATAACACCTGCTAGTAAAGTGACCTCTCTGTGCCTTGTTTTATCCTCCTGTAAAATAAAGGAGACTTGGAAGAGATGACCACAAAGGTCTCTCCGAGCTCTGACCCTCTCTTGAACCAAGTTAATATTTTTCAGTTTATCCTTCTAAAGAGTTAACTTTGACCCCCTCATTAGAGTTGAATTCTGCATGTTTTCTGCAGTAGAAACTCATAACGGCATGTGTTGACTTGGAAACTTCCAGATCTTTTGATCTAAGAACAGGGTGTTCTGGAGTGAATGAGCAAGACAGGAAATAGGTCACCCCACACAGGAAGTTGAGTAACTGTCGTGAGACAACAGCCAGACTGGTCCCAAGGCTGTGCGTCCACTTGTCCAGTGGCAGGGTCCAAGGGGAAGTCCAAGGGGGAAACAGCAAGAACCTCTGTGGGCAGATGGAAACTGGGCTTTCCGTGTGAGAGAGGGGTGCGTAGCTCTGGGGAGGACCGGATTGCACATGTCCTGGTCCTTCCACTACATCCACATGGAGCTGGTACTCAGGGCTCACTGACTCCTGGGCAGCTGTTCAGGAGAGGTGGGGGGCAGGGGTTTCCCAGAGAGCACTGTCCACTGGGGGACGGGAGAGAAGGTAGAGAGAAGATGATGGCTTCACTGTGGATCTGGCTGAGTGGGTGTCCAGCAGCCCCGGGTCAGCCGCCTACCACCTGCCCTCTGGGCCTTTGTTTCTCCAAGGTCATCGTCTTGATCAGCGCCCTCCTTCTCTTTTCCCTCGTCACTCCCCTCCTCCTTGTCCTTCTCCTCCTTCCTCCTCGCCCTCTTCTGTTTCTTATTTTCCTCTTCTTTTTCCCCTTCCTCTTTCTCCTCCTCATTGACCCCCCTTAATCATCACCACCATCACCATCACTATCACCATCGTCACCATCAACATCATCACCACCGTCACTATCACCTTCATCACCATCACCACCATCACCACCATCACCACCACCATCACCACCACCATCATCACCACCACCACCACCTCATCATCAACATCATATCACCATTATCCCCATCACTGCCATTTTCCAGTGTTTTATATACATCTAAGACAGTTTTCCAGTCACACACACACACACACACACACACACACACACCCTTATCTAGACTGTGGAAGACATGAGATAAGAACCCACTTTACAAGCTTATTGTCAAAATTAAATGAAATGATGAATGCTAAGAGCTTGGCACAGCATCTGTCACGCAGTAGGTGTTCGGGAACTCCCAGCTTATTATTTCTATTGTGCGTTATTAATTATTATAATTACCTTATTTCCAAAGTGAACATTGGAACCTTATCTGGGGCAGATTCTAACAACAAAAGGTGATAAAGAAATTAAAGAAAACTCCAATTTGATTTCCCTCAATGGTCTACCATGCCACAGCAGCCACAGCTGAACCCTGTGGGGGCGTTAAGGAGGGGCGAGTGACGTCAGCACAAGGCCCTAGATCTCTGGCTAGGCCCATTGTCTATCTGGAGTCAAAGTTCCACTAGCAAAGTCCTGACTGTGTCCTTGCTCCCAGTAAAACGTGCTCTCAAGGAAGAAGCAGCAGATCATATCTCACCTCTGCTCAAAGTAGACAATGATTTCTTTTTTGCTCAGAAAAAGCAAAACTTTGATAATGGCCACAGTGTCCCCTGTGCTACATGCTCTGAACACTCGCCCTGTCGTCTCAGACTTCTCCCTGAGCATCGTCTCGAGCTTCCTCCATACTGATGCCCTGGGTGGCCTGAGACCATGCTCCTGGCCTTGCCCTGGCTGCCTCCTTCTGGAATGTCCTACCTCCTGGCCCACTTCCCTACTTCTTGGCAAAAGTCACCTTCTCAATGGGAACTTCCCCAGCCACATTTAAATGGCAACAGTCTCCCACCCTAGAGCACGTTCTCCCTAGAGAACTGTTGTTCTCTCCCTGCAGAGGACAGCGTCTCCAGCCACTGCTGTCTAGGAGTGCAAAACAGGTGACCTGTGGAGACATGGCCAGTTGTGACAACTGAGAGGAGGTGCTGTGGTATCGAAAGAGCAGCAAGCCTACAGAACATTCTAGAAAGCCCCCCCAACATCTGCCCCGGAACAACAGCGCTCAGGGTGAGGAACTCTGCTATAGAATAAAGCCTCGCAGGGACAGGCCTTGGGCTGGTTCTTGGTTTGTTCATTGCTGTATCCCAGTATTGAGAACAGGACCTGGCATACAGGAGCCACTCAATAAATACTTCAATGATAAATAATTCCTAGAAAATGGACCTGAAAATAAAAATTTTCTGAATCATCATGATCTCAAGGAATTAAAAAAAAAAAAAAAATCCTCTTCAAACCAGCACCAGAACAAACACGGCAGGTGCTGGCCAAAAATGAGAGAGCTCCAGTTCCTTGTTTGGAAAGGCATCATTTTTCCACCGGAAAGAAAGATGGCTCTGTGACAGCCCCACCCGGAACTCACACATTGTGTTCTAAGTTTAACACATCGCCCGCTCTTTCTGCTGAAGCCCTTGGCTCCAGCCCATAATATCCCTGAATCCAGGAAACCATTATGACTGGTCAGGGTCAAAGGTTGCTGCTATTGTAACCCACTTCCTCCATCGGAGTTTTAAATTTGGAAAACGTTCGTATTGCTATTGTGTGGGATGTCAGCTCTCAGATAACCTCAGAGTTATTTTTATTTGTCTACCATGACCACCACCCCCCCCCCAAAAAAAATGTTTAAAAATTGCCGAGTGGGAGGGGGCTTTCCTCGGAACATAATGTCAATAGACAGAAGGCAGATAAGAGCCCGCTGAGATCCCCGGCCTGTGACTGAATCAAGGAAAGAGAGGTTGTCAGATTCCCAGAGGGCCCCCAAATGAGATTCCAAGGTGTTTTTTTTAATTCTTTTTTTAAGATGGCCAGAGTAAGAGAAAGATTGGCCCCTAAGAGTGCCAGGGCTCCTAGACACACGTCCTGGTACTAGAACCGGCAGGAGAAATCTCTGAGTTTGACCAGCAACAGGAGTGGAGCCGACAGGCAGTCGGGTCATGGAGAAGCCAAGTGTTGAAATTAGAGTAGTTTAAGGCAAGAGGAAGGTTGTGTTGGCTAATCCCGTGGGAAACTGGGGACACTGCCATCTTTGGGGAGAAGACATGCTAGAGGAGCAGCAGCTGGAAGGTCTTTGATGCAGTTACAAGGTTAGGAAAAAGTGGGCCCGGTTACTTCTGCAAACACGCATGGCCCCTATCTCTGCTATCCCAGCAGGGGCAATAGGGATAGGAGGCGCTCTAATGTGGTGCCAATTCATTGCTCCATGAGCCCAATCAGTTAGTTTACTTCGCCTCTTTAAGACTTGGTTTCCCCATCTGTAAAGGAGGATTGAAAACCACAGTGACCTGCCCCACAGGGTTGTTGTAAGGATACTGTTTGATCTTGTGTCCATCACCTGGAAAGTATTCCGTAATAAATACTTAGTATTATTAGAAGCAAGACAAGACCCCTCCCCTGAAGTTGTTCAGACTCTAGTGGGCAGATAGTCTCCCAATTAGAAGAGCCCCTAATGTTCATTGTGTATGCACGTGTGCCAGGTTCTGTGCCACAGACCTTGTGACGTACCTCATGGAATCCCCACGGTGTTCTGGGATATGAGTGCTGCTCAAAATATGTCTGCTTCTCCTTCTGCCTTTAGGACAATAAGACAAGATTCCTGTGACCCTCGAGTTCAGCTTGGGCCACGTGACTACTTCCAGCCAATGGCGTGTGGAAGAGACTTACGCTTTTGACCGCCTGGCTGGAGCGTTTCATTGCCAGTGCAGCACCCTGATGCAGTCAATCTTCTTGCTGCAGTGACAGATGCCATTCTGGTGGGTGGGGCTTTGATCACCATCGGGCTCCCAGAGCCCAGGGAGCCAGGCTTGCCCACCAACACAATTCATTGGCTCCTTCCCTACTGGTACTGTCTGGAATCACTTGCCCCAAAATTTCTTGCACTCAAATTCTAGTTGCTTGGGCAGGTGAAGAGGGGGTGGGGCAGGCAGAGGGTGGGGTTGCCCTCAAAAATGGCAATTTTAATCCACTGAGGATACAGCAAGGAAAATCCCATCTGGGATTGTCTATCTAAACTCGCTGCCTGGTCCACACAGTTGGTGTTGATCCAAGTCATTCATTCAACCTGTCTCGAGTCATCTTCTGGGTTTGATTGCTGTTCTTGGTCTCACGGTGAGGATGACCGAGTAGAGACCCTTCCCGTGTGCAAACAGCAGGGAGCACGAGAGAGAACTAACCCTGTGCTTCAAGTCCTCGAGATTGAGAGGCGGGCCATTACCGAGG